CAGCCATGGAGCCCCGAGGGCGTCCCTGGGGGAAACCGCCTCCCAGGAAGCGACGTCCCCAAGAAGCCCTGTGGCTCCCAGTGACTCCTGGTTATTGGGGGAAGCGGCCACCCGGCAGCTGTGGCCGGTCCCTGCTTCTGCTCCGGCCGGTTGTCAGCTGGAAGGAAGGTCGCTGTGCGCGCCGCCTCCCTCCCAGGGGAGCGGGGGGGGGGTCCCCGCAGCTGCAGCGGGTGGAGAGCCCAGGCCCTGCAGGGGTCTGCCTCCCCCCTGCCCCCCTGCTCCCCGGGTTCCAGTCGCCCTGGCCTTCCCCCGGGAGACCAGTCCTGGCCGGAGGGGAAACCACCAGCCGCGCCCCAGGGCCAGGCCTCGCTGCGGCTCTTCCCAGCCGGGCCGCTGACCTGCGGCAGACAAACCGGTTCTCCCGGGGCCTTACTTCCACCTCATCCCGGTTGGGCCTCCCCGGAAACGTGTTTTTTTAAAATGTTTTTGGTTTCGTGGTGTTAATCCGCTCTCCAGGATGTATTTTCCATTTATTGGTTGCCTCCTGCACACACCCGGACCAGGCCAGGAATCGAACCTGCAGCCATGGAACGGGAGGCCCTCCGGTGCGCAGGCCGCAGGCTGCCCGCTGCCCACCACCAGCCAGGGCTCCACTGCGCCTTTGTTCTCGGCGGGGTGGGACTGAGGTGGGGAGGACTTGTTGGGGGGATCCTGCGGGGTCGGCCCTGACTGTCTCAATGGAATCCTTTGTGAATCACCCCGTTTCTAAGTGTTGCAAAGAAACAGTCCTGGAACTAACTATCGCTGATGATTCCTGATGTTCCTTAGAGTAGGAGAGTTTCACACGCCCTCACTGAGCCCTGGCTGCGGCAATGGCAATGGCCAGGACCCCACTGTGCTCCCTCGCGCTCTCCACGCTTGGACCAGCGACACCTTCTGCCCTGAGGAAATGTTCTATATTGGGGCTTCGTGGAGCCACCGGTGGCTATTAAGCAGTTGAAATAGGATCAGTGGGACTGAAAAACTGAATTTTAAATTCTGTTTCATTTTAATAAACTTACATTCAAGCGGCCACGCCTAATGTCACTACCCTATTCCACAGCTGCCTTTTTTGCATCTTCTAAATTCCAAACCTTTTCTTGCCTCTAGCTCTAGAGAGACCTCAAGACCAGGGGAGGCGTGTCTCCACCACTGCGGGAAATCTCTGGACCCAGCATTGGAGCTTCGCGGGAAGAGGCATGGCCTCGGCCACAGCCAGCAAGAAGATGAGGGAGGAGGCCACCTGCTCCATCTGCCTGAACCTGATGATCGAGCCCCTGAGCATCAGCTGTGGACACAGCTACTGCCAGGCGTGCATCCTGCGGTTCCTGGGCAGGGGGCCCCTCACGCTGCATCCGCAAGTGGAGATGTTCTCCTGTCCCCAGTGCCGGGCTCCGTTCCAGAGAACCAGCCTCCGGCCCAACAAGCAGCTGGGCAGCCTCATTGCAGCCATCAAGGAGATGGACCAGGAGATGTCCTGCGAGGAGCACGGAGAGCAGCTCCACCTGTTCTGCGAGGATGAGGGTCAGCTCATCTGCTGGCGCTGTGAGCGCACCCCACGGCACAAAGGGCACACTACAGTGCTCCTGGAGGACGTGTGCCTCAGCTACAAGGTGAGTGCCCGCGCTCCTGTGCTCCCCGAGACCTCCGATCATCCAGCCTGAAGCCCAAGGCTGTGCCCCTGAACTATAGCTGTCCTGGTCAGGCTCTCCTCGCGTCCGCTGTTGCCATGGTGAATTTGTCCCAGTGCTACCACGCCCTGTGCGCAAACCCACGCCTGCATGTTTTATCGCTTCCCTCTTGTATATAATGGACACCGCAGTAGGCAATGCCCCGTGGCAGAGTCTGAATGCACAGGGGACAAAGATGCCTCCTTGTAGGCATCCTGCAGGCCAGGGAAAGAGACTGCCCTGTGTACCCTGGTTTGGGTGCTGGGAAGGGGTGCCACAGAGTGCAGGGAGTCTCTGGGGGGCCTCCCCAGAAGTGAGTCCCGAAGGACATCTAAAAATGAACAGTATGTAGACGTGTGGAGAAGAGACAGGACCCTCCAGGCGAGGGGACTGTGTGGTAAACGCACAGCCAGGGGCGGGGGGAGGGAAAGGCCGATGACCGCCCAGAGCCTGCAAATCAGCTCAGTCTGAGTCCCAGCGCAGGGTGTCCTGACCATCTGAAGCAGTGAAACTCATTTTATTCCCCAAGGAGGGAGAAGGGAGATGTAAGCAAGATTCAGGAGGGCAGCTGAAGGATCTGGAAATGGTTGGCCCTGGAGGATGGCGGGCGGGAGAGGTTTGCATGGCTCCTAAGTTTCTCACCCAAAAGCAGGTCCAGGAAACTGGCTTTGCTGTGGGGGCTGGGCCGAGGTGTGGGAACATTACTGCTTCTCTGTCCTGCGTGGGCCTGAGGAAGATGACCCTGGAGTGGGGCTCCTTGTCCCGTCCCCAACGAGGCGAAGGTGATCTTGTGTCAAGGTTTCAGGCGTGTCCACACTGGCCGCCCCACCCCGCAGCCCGGGGCAATACCTTCAACCCCAAGAAGCAGGTGGTGACTGTAACAGGGCTGCCCCCCTGGAATTTCTTTCCCACCAAGTGGCCGGAGTAGGAGCAGCACAGGGTGACGGTCCTGAGGCCCAGGAGTCACTCCGATTAGTGTGAACTCGGTTCTGCCATTTCCTTGGTGGGTAGCTCCGAGCAAGCTATTGACTGTCTGGTGCCTTGGTCTCCCGTCTGTAAGTGGTGAGAACAGTAGCCAACAGGACCTCGCTCCCCAACACACAGGCCGGGGAGCGGGGACAGGCTTTAAGGACAGGAATACGTGGAGAGCTCAGCTCTGGCGCATAGCGAGGGCGACACAGCCCTTTCTCGAGAATTCAGTTCAAAGAACCCAGGTGCCGCTTTTTGCAGCGCAGACCACAGCTGGCAATTTGGTTTGGCTTAAAACGGCTCCCCATGGAAATGGGAGAAACGATTTTGAAAGATAACCTAATAGCTTGATACAGCTACTGAATCATTTTAAATCAGCTTCCCGGTACCATTCCCCAGCAGACATCAGAGCTCCCCTCCTGTGTGCCAAAGCCCTGCCCATGTATGGTTCAGCATAGTATTTCATAAAATCTTCTTTTACATGACTATCGTCTTACTCTGTGTGCAGTGTTTCCCTGGCAGGACTGTACTGGTGGACAGGGCTCAGGCTCGGGGTCAGCAGGTGAGGTTGGACTCACAGCTCTACCACCACCCCTTATAGCACCTGTTTCTATAACACAGAAACCATGTTAAAAGTCCTGCCAACTGCTCAGGGTTGTCAAGAGGATCCAATGTGTTACTGCACATACATCCTTCAGGATGCCTCCTGGCAGAGTGTAAGGCCTCCCTACAGATTCAATATCATCCTAATAGCCTTGGAGGCCTGGGGTTCCCCCCAGCCTCTGCCGCCTTGGTGCCTAATGCAGAGTTGTCGAATTGAATAGGCTCTAGTCACCCTATTTTTCCTCCAGGAAAAGCTCCAAGAAGCCGTGACAAAACTGAGGCAACTGGAAGAGGAATGCGTGAACCAGAAAGCATTCACGACAAAGCAGATCAACGAATGGAATGTAAGAATGGGGGGGGCGGGTTCTTACCCTGGCCGGTGTGGCTCGGGGTGGAGCGTTGGCCCACGCACTGCAGAGTGGAAGTTTCGATTCCCAGTCAAGGGCACATACCTGGGTTGCAGGTTTTTTTGTTGTTGTTTGTGTTTTATTTTTGTATAAGATTAACTTTTATTTTTTAATTATTTTTTAATGTTTCTTTATCTTTGTTGTTGAGAATATTACAGATGCCCCCTTTTTATCCCCACTGATTTCCTCCACCCTACCCCCATCCCACCCCCAGGCTTTTCCCATACCAGCGTCTGTGTCCATGGGTTATGCTTATAAACATAAGTTCTTTGATTAATCTCTCCCCAACCACTCCCCCCTCCCCGCCTTCCCTCTGAGATCCCTCGGTCTGTTCCATGCTTCTGTGTCTCTGGATCCACTTTGTTCATCAGTTTATTTTGTTTATTATATTCCACATATATGTGAGATCATGTGGTACTTGTCTTTCTCTGACTGGCTTATTCACTCAGCATAATACTCTCCAGGTCCCTCCATGCTGTGCCAGAGGATAAAAGGTCCTTCCTCTTTACAGCTGCATAGTATTCCATGGTGTGAATGTGCCACAGCTTTTTATCCACTTGTCTACTGATGGGCACTTGGGCTGTTTCCAGATCTTAGCTATTGTAAATTGTGCTGCTATGAACATAGGGGTGCATAAGTTCTTTGTGATTGGTGTTTTGGGTTCCTTAGAATATATTCCTAGAAGTGGGATCATTGGGTCAAGTGGCAGGTCAACTTTTAATCTTTTGAGGAACCGCCACACTGTTTTCCACAGTGGCTGCCCCAGTCTGCATTCCCACCAGCAGTGTACTAGGTTCCCCTTTCTCCACACCTTTGCCAGCACTTGTCATTTGTTGATTTGTTGATGGTGGACATTCTGACAGGTGTGAACTGATACCTCATTGTGGTTTTAATTTGCATCTCTGATGATTATCGACACTGAGCATTTTTTCATGTGTCTCTTAGCCATCTGTGTGTCCTCTTTGGAAAATGTCTATTCAAGTCCTGGGTTGCAGTTTCAATCCCAGCTCAGTTGGGGTGCATGCAGGAGGCAACCCATTGATGTGTCTCTCTCCCATAGATGTTCCTCCCTCTCTCTCCCTTCCACTCTCTAAAAATCAATGGAAAAATTAGCCTCAGGTGAGGATGGACAACAGCAAATGTGGGCTTCTTGATCTCAAGTTATTTTCTGTCTGAGAGCCTAGGTGTAGGGGGTGATGGGGCAAAGCACAGTGATGGTCTCACTAGAGCAGACCAAGTAGGTGAAACCCCAAGAAGAAACCATTTGTTTTTATGCCCTTGGCTGTCTACATCAATGAGAACTTACTTCCTATCCCGTCCACCTTTCGGTAAGAATTGGCCAGGATTCCGATGCCTGTTGGAAGAAGTGGAATCCCTGTGCCTGTTTAGGGAGAGGCATCCCCCACTGCATTTCCAACTTTCATTACCCCCAAGTACCTTCCTAGTTTGGGGGCCTCATTACCTTGGTGCATTTCCCATGGTGCAAGGTGCAGAACTCAGAAGACAAAGTCACTCCAGGCTGAGATGCCTGTTACTCAAACTCATGAGTCTGGTCAAGGAAGCCTGATTTGTATGGAGCATCCTTTCTGCAGCTGCAGACCAGATCCTGTGGTCAGAGATGCAGTCCTTTACAGTCATGTTTACGTAAGATACCAGCTTGCAGTCCATTCCCGAAGGCCCTGAGCTGTGTTGCCTTTTTCAGGGGTTCCTCCCAACCTCTGTCCTGATCCTTTGTTAAACTCGAATTCTCAGAGGACACTCTTATATCCCTCATTTCTGGGGTCTTGGCAGTGGGGAGGATCTTGATTGTCTAACATATATGGAAACACCATCAGTGTCTGTCTCCCCGGACAAAAGCAGAGTTAGTCTTACACACAAGGGTGATCAAGTGGACCCTGGGCTGGTGGATGAATACTTCTCAGTTAACTGTGATAAAGCTGCCACTCAGCCCCCCTCCCCCACTGAGAGTCACTGGACTCTCCTAGGGGCCTGGTTAGAGTCCAGTCTTGGTGTGGTGTTCATGATGAGCTTTTGCTTCATGCATTTGCCTCAGATACAAACAAACTTTTTTTTATCCCTAATAAAAACTCTTCTTATCTTCGTAACTCAGCAATCTTCAACTGGTGTGCCCCAAGAATGTTTAAAACATGCAAAACTTGACTATTTAGTCATGGGCACTGAGCTCTTTTCCCTTAGGTTGTTAAATGAAAAAAATGACAACAGCCAATACAACAATAGCCATGTGGTGTGAATGCCCTGTCTTGAACCCTAAATATATAGATCATATAATAGAATTGCATCTTATCGGTCACATCACATATTAAGGTTGCATCTGACTGGTTAATTCTTGGTGCCATGTACAAGTATAGGCACCTGATTTTTTTAAAAGTCACTGTGGAGCAAAAAAGAGTAATTATTATTTTGTAAATTAATCAAAATTATGCCTATTTTTATTGTCAGATTGGCAAAAATATTTTTTGGTGTGGTGCAGAATTTTAGTAATTACGTGTGCCATGAGATGAAAAAGAAATGTTTGACCTTGGCCCTAGTTCTGTGATTAAATTATCTAGCGTTCCCATCATGCATCTTGGCTGAGAGATAAGGAAATGGATCCAGGTGACTAAACTCAGTGACCCTGCCTCCCGGTCACGAATCTGCAGCAGGGACTGGGAGACACTGTCCCAGCTCCATGACTCACCGGCAAATAATGTCATGGCTGCTGAGCTAACTTTCTTTTGTGTGTCCCTGTGCATAAAAAATATAAAGAACATAAAATTTACCACTTTATTTTTAAGTGGACAGCTCAGTGGCATTAAGTACTTTTATATTGTTCTACAACCATCACCACTGCCATATTGCAAAACTGGAACTCTGTCCCCATTAAACACTAGCTCCCCATCCCCCCTTCCCTCAGCCCTGGTAACCACTGCTCTACTTCCTGCCTCTGAATTTGACTATTCTAGGTCCCTCCTATAGGTGGAATCATATCATGTTTGCCCTTCTGTAACTGTCTTGTTTAACTTCAAGGTTCATCTGTGTTGTGCCTGTGTCAGGATTTCATTCCTCTTTAAGGCTGAATGCTATTCGATGGTGTCTGTAGACCACATTTTGTTTATTGACTCATCCATAGATGGACTGTTGGGTTGTTTCCACCTTTTGAGCATTTTTTTCTTCTTTATATGCCTTTATTGATTTCAGAGAGAGGAAAGAAGAGGCAGAGAGAGAAACAGAAATATCAATGATGAGAGTCATTGATCTGCTGCATTCTGCATGCCCCTGCTGGGGATCTCTGGGCATGTGCCCTGACCGGGAATCGAACCGGGATCTCCTGGATCATAGGTAGATGCTCAGCTGCTGAGTCATGAACCTCTGAGCATCCCGGCCGGGTTTGAACATCCTTTCTTGACTCTAGGAGAAGATAAATGCCAAGAGACAGAAAATCCAGTCGGACTTCCAGAGTCTGCACAGCTTCCTGCAGGAGGAGGAGAAGTATTACCTGTGGAGGCTGGAGAAAGAAAGAGAGCAGACCCTGGAAAAACTGAGGGTCAGTGAGGCCAAACTGGGGCAGAAGAGCCATGAGCTCGAGAGCCACATCCTGGAGCTGGAGGAGAGATGCCAGGGCTCCGCCCAGAAGTTGCTGCAGGTGAGGCTGTGCCCTGGGAGGGCTGAAAGGTGTCTGATTCTGAGCTGTGTGGGGGGAAGGTGCAGAAGAGTGTGAACAGGCAAGGACCCCGCCTCGCTCAGAGGTGGCACATTCGTGTGGCAAATTTAAAGGCATATTTCTTTTAGATACAGACTAATATCTGCAAGGTGGCCTGCACTGGTCTACGGGGCACCATCATGTGTATCAGAAAAATATCCCCCCACTGGTGGATGGGGCGTGTTGCTTGGCCAAAGCACTCATGGGATGACTTCCGCTACCATTTGCCTCTGTCCAATGGGCACAGAACCCTGTCTGTCAGACAGTCTCCTGAAAAGCTCATCCAGGTGACTGGCATGTGACCAGGTGGCGCTGCCAACATGAGTGATGACCTTTTCCTGATGGGTCCAGAGCTCCTGCACAGCCTCCTTCGAGCCACACGAAGGTGAACTCAACCTGAAGCTGTTCCTTCCAGTTCCCACAAGTAGAACTGGCGGTCACACTGCCAGGTTGACAGTGTCTCATGGCTGCTCCACCCCTGTGGGACACCTGCGGCCACCACCTCAGTGCCCAGTCTCGGCGCCATCCACCCATCCCCTGCTGAGAGTCTTTGTGATAAGTGGTCTCTCCCAGGGTCCGCTCTGAGGGAAGTTAGGTCAACAAAGACAAGTCTGGCTGGAGGGAGCATGGGGGAAGCTCCTGGACCCCTCCCCAAGCGGCCCACAGGCTCCCACCACCTCAGCAAGGAAGGTAACAGACTCAGAGGTTGAGAAACGTCCTGCAGCACCGACTGTCCCAAGGGTTGGGGTGGGCATCATTGCACGGGGTGTCCATCGATACCCAAGGCCGGGACTGCTGTCTCCTTCCTGGGAGGGAGCGTTGATAGACAGTGGCCCGTCAGTACCGATGTTCCCACACTTACCTTGGTGTTTTCCCCCTGCAGGACGTGAAGGATGCCTTGAGCAGGTGAGCGTTGAATGAAGGAAGGGGGGTAGATGGGGTGCAGAGCTGTTGGGAGGCACCACTAAGAAGCCTTGGCCTCTGCTTACCCCAGGAGTCAGGCTGTGCGGCTGGAGACGCCGGAGGCCCTCTCTTTGGAGATTCACACCGTGTGCAATGTCCCTGAGCTCTACTTTGACGTGAAGAAGCTGTTAAGGAGCTATCGAGGTTTGTGAAGGCATTTTACAAGCACTGAACTCAGTCCTCTGCATCGTCCTTTGGGACAAATGTGATGATGTCTACTTTATGTTTCACAAAGCTAAGCTCATATTACTAGTCCAAGACAAGGCTCAGACTGAAGCTCAGGCTGGTTTTATTTAAAATAAACTGTGTTCGCCCTGGCCGGTTTGGCCCAGTGGTTAGAGCGTCGGAACTGAAGGGACCCTAGGTTCAGCTCTGGCCAAGGGCACATACCTGGGTTGCAGGCTCCATCCCCGGCCCTGCTCAGGATGCGTGCGGGAGGCAACCAATCGATGTGTCTGGTGTGTCTCTCTCAGACATGGATGTTTCTCTCTCCCCCCCTTCCACTCTCTCTGAAAGCAATGGAAAAAATATCCTCAGGCGAGAATAAAAAATAAATAAAACAAACTGTGTTCTCAGCAACAAAAAAACATGTCTTTTTTTTCCCCTCAGTCGGCGTGACTCTGGATCCAGACACAGCTCATCCTGAACTATTTCTGTCTGAGGATCAGAGACAAGTGACTCGGGGGTACCCCCAGGACAATCAGGCCTCTTCTCCCAGGAGGTTTACTGTCTCACCCTGTGTCCTGGGCCGTGAGAGCTTCACCTCAGGGCGACATTACTTTGAGGTGGATGTGGGCGAAGGAACAGGGTGGGACATAGGAGTCTGCATGGAGAGTGTGCAGAGGTACACGGGCACGATGCAGAAGCCCGAGACTGGCTTCTGGGCCATCCGGCTGTGCACCAAGGACGGCTACGTGGCGCTCACTTGGCCCCGCGTGCCCCTGGATCTGAAGGAGCAGCCCCTGGTCGTGGGGGTTTTCCTGGACTGTGAGGTTGGAATTGTTTCTTTCTACAACATGACCACAGGCTCCCACATCTTCACCTTCCCCAAGGCCTCCTTCTCGGACATACTACGGCCCTATTTTCAGGTTTTTCCGTATTCTCCCTTGTTCCTGCCGGCCCTGGATGAGTGAGGAAAGGAGAAGTCTCCTTCTTGGCTTAGCCAGCAGAGAGAAATAATGTAAAACCATGGGGCAGAATTATGGTTTATTTTCTTCACTGCTGTTTCGCCGTACCCAGAATGGCTGTACTGTTCGTGGATCCTCAATAAATCTGCATTGAAAGAAATGGACATAAAGACTGTAAAATACTGTATGGTCAGTCTGATCCTTGACCTCTCTATCCCCCTTCAAAGGATTCAGAGCTTTGATATCCAGAAGTCCTTGGGTGACCGGCAGGGTGACTCAGAGGTCAGGAGGTTGCAGTCCTCCCAGTGTGTTTGACACAGTTGGATCTTGTGTGGGGGGTGAGGGAAAGCTGCAGGGGTTTCTGCTCACTGCACACAAGAGCAGGAAAACAGAAATAGCAGTGAGTCTTCTAGGCACAGACACGTGGATTAATAATCTGAGCCACGGTGCTGGGGGACATGGTGAGTGCAGAGGCCATAGACCTAGTGAGCTCTGCCCAGACAATTACCCAAGTGGGAGAGAAGACTGAGAACTGGCCAGAGTGAGAAGCTTTGAATGCGGAGGAGATCGGGAGTAAAGTGATTTTTGATGGGGACTCGGTCGTGGAAAAGGAGTTATTTTCTAGACCGTGCTAGTGCCAGCTATCTTGAAATATTTTAAAATCTCAGCAAGTAGTTATTGCTGGCATGATTGACTGCTGTCTTTATTAGGAATCAGATATGAGCAAGTAGGCGGTAACTACACACAGGTTTATTTTGGAAAGCCCATTCCTTGTCAAACCTAAATGATCACACCTGAGTTGGCTAATGACAGGACCACGGTGAAGTCACTGAAAACATGCACAGGATGCTAATGATGACCAAAACATGCCATAAGACTGCTGTTACAATAACGTGTGGTTGATAGAAAAATCTTGAAGTCCTCTGACATCCTCTCTCTAGGAGTAGGGGACAGGGAGCGAATGGAGTTGTTTCTGGATGTCAGAGGCATGGTTAGGCCCCAACGTCCATCCAGAAGAGGAAATAGAAGAAAACCTTGATGAACTGACATTTTCAAAACGATAATTTGGCATGGGCATCATCTTAGCAATCAGTTCGATGCTCAAGGTGTTGCATTGTTTCATTATTGTCTTAATATCTCAATACCGACCCAATCCTGGGCCACAGGGTGGCCCCTGTGATACGGCAGGAAGGGGAGGCAGGGCAGGGCCAGGCAGAGGGGCCGCCTGCATCCCGCGTGCCACTGTCACCCGTTTCCTTTAACCCCTTTCCTCTACCTCTGGGGCTAGAAGTTAGATTCCTGCTGAGCCCGAAGGGTCCCCGTGGACGGCCAGGTGGCTGCGTCCGGGTCAGCAGACGCGCGGGGCCCCGCGCGCCCAGGGCCCGCGTGCCTGGCAGCCACGGCCTGAAGGTGGACAAGCTGCGGGACGGAGAAGCTGCATCTCCAGGCCGCCATCGAGAGCACCCACCCCGGCGGGTTTGGAGAGAGCGCTTCCAACACCCGCGCTCACGTCCCAGCTGGAACGCGCCGCTCGTCTCGGGTACTCAGGGCGCTCTAGGGAAACAACAGGGAAAAGGCCCTTACAGGACGGGAAGCGCAGGCCGAAAGCGAAGGACTATTTGGTTCCTTCCGCGGGGTAAGAAAAGCCTTGCAGAAGAGCTGAGACGGTGGGCAAAGGCAGCGGCAGAGGGGCAGTGCCCGCAGGGTGGGCCCTCGGGACACCAGCTACGCAGAGGGGTGACCACTGCGCATTGGCGTCTGAACACCAGGAAGCCGGGGACCAGGATATTTGCTTTTACACCGGCAACAACAGCTCGCTGCCACTAACCCAAAGCCGAGGGGAGCCATCAGTCTGCGGCGACCCTAGCAAGCCCCCGGGTCCCACACGGTGCAGAAATAGAAGCACGACGGCCACCGGGAGACCCGCTTATATAGAGAAAGTGCCTGCGCTGGTACCTGATTGGCCCACTTGTATGCATATGAGGAATACACATTTGCAGCGTTTGATTGGCCCAGATAACAGTGTCCTGATTGGCCAGATTGGCACGTCGCGAATTGTTGTTAGGGGGCCACCGACTGGTCAGTAAATACGCAAATGAGGGTCTATCTGTGCAATTCTGATTGGATGGGGCAGGTCGCAGCCCATTGGAGACATTAAAATTCCAGGAACTTCTTTATAAGGCTCAGCTCGCTCGCGGGCGCGCACTGGGGGGGGGCCTGCACCTCAGCCTGTGGGTGCCTCCGGGGTGCCGCGGGCGAGGCCTCTGCGAGCGATGGCTGCTGCGCTCTGGTCGTGGGTTTCGTCCCGATTAAGCACGAGGAGGCCTTGAGCAGCACGTTCTTTCTGAATGCCTGGGGTGGTGGACACGATGGTGATTCGAGTCCCCCAAGTCTGTGGTGCGCCTGCCGTCAGCCAGCGGCCTCCCCCTGCTGGGCAAACTTGGGAGCACGCGGGAGACCCCTCGTTCCATAATTTCTTCGCTCCTTGTACTAGGTGAAGACTCCCCGTTGGGTTCCTATACTTGTCCTGGACGCCCTGCACCCTGACGTTGTGGTGTCACCCGTTTAACTTGTAGTCTGGAGGTATCAGCTTACTGTCTCTAGGAAAGTTCCCTTTAGCCACAAATCTCACCCTGACTTTGACCGTTTAAAAAAACATCCTCTGTATACCCTGGAATTGGGTCTAGGCGCCCTGGACTCAGGGGAGGCCTGGGATGCCTGGGTGGCGGTGTCGGATGGGAGACACTTGTGGGCTGGAGGAGGGGTGTCGAGACAGAGGGAACGTGACTGGAAACGCAAGAGAGGATGGAGATGAAAAGCAGCAGTAATTTAAAAATATAATGAACGTTTCGGGAGGAACATAGGTGGCTCCTTGAGGAATAAGTTGGCCGGCTTCCCTGGTTCTCAGACTGTCAGGAAGGGGTGGAGAGAACCCTGAGATACCGAGACCTACACTCTCCCTGCCCAGCTCCAAAGCAAGGAATGATCTTTATAAGGAGGCTCTGGGGTTCCCAGCTTCAGGACTGTTGACCCCTCAAATTTCTTCCTTCAGTCTGAAAGTTCAAGACAAGGTTGCCAGGGTCCTGATGGAATCTCACACGCAAAGATGCTGGCATTCATTAGAGTCGCGTTGCGTGTGTCTGGATGACTTCCCGGTCAAGGAAAATGGGAAGCTATCCCTTAAAACCCACGCTCCGTGACGGTTTTGAATCTATGGTTTCTAGAGGCAAATGTTGAGGGTCACGGGTGAAGCTGATTGTTTAGTTCTTGTGGAAGCTGCACCAGGTTTTCCTTAATCTGATTTAGTTCTTGATGTCATCTTGTCTGGAGCCTTCCTAATTTCGGTTTGATAATCTAACCAGGTTGAGGAACCAAGATTCCATAAAACATCTCATGATTGTGTATCAGTGACGTTATCTTTAAAGCAAAAGGCAGAAACTAAACATTTTGTGACCATTGTTGTTTGTAATTAAACTAATATGCAAATTTTTAATATATTTAATAAATTACATATAATACATATTAATGGAAAATACATCATAGACAAAGAAAATATGGAGAAAATGCCAAAATTAGAAAACTACCTGTAACACAGGAGGTAAATATAAGGTTAGTTTTTTATTATATATAAAACAATGGGAAAAGAGAAAGACAGGCTGCCCAATGAATAAGCAGAAGATGTAAGTGGTAATTCTGAGAAGTGCATATTCAAATGGCCAATAAACCTGAAGAAAGGAAGTGACAAAGTGAAATAATTTTACTCTGTAGACTTGCAGAAATTAATGAGACCATACCTTGATGGCTGGAGGAAGAGGAGAGCTATATCCAGGATATGTCAGCACTCACCAACTGAAATTTAAAATGTACCCTAGCCCGGCTGGGTGTGGCTCAGCGGTTGAGCAGGGACCCAGGATCCAGGAGATTGCAGTTCGATTCCCAGTCAGGGCACATACCAGGGTCAGGGCTCGATGCCCAACAGGGGGTGTGCGGGAGGCAGAGGATCAATGACTCATCATTGATGTTTCTTTCTCTCCCTCTCCCTCTCTCTGAAATCAATAAAGATATTAAAAAATAATAATAAAATTAATCTAGCAATTTCAGGGTTGGAACTCCATTGTCTACACCACGGTCAGCAGATGATTCGACTTGAAAGGATTTTTCTCAAGGTTTTGTTAAAAGAAAAAGCAACATGCATGAAAGTGTATATAATATCACCATTTTGTAAATAACAACCCTAACCGAAAAACAAAACAGCCATTCGTGGGTATGGGTAGCTGTATGTAAACGAGCAAATTCAGAGGAGAGGAGGAAACCAGTGTGGGGAAGGGGGAACTTGGAATGTGAAATGACAGACATTAGGGGATGGAGGGAGCCGTGCAAAACAAGGCGGGGGGAGGGGAGACCTTAAAAAAATGCAGCAGTTGAGTATTAAACAACTTATATGCGCCTATGTAAAAATAGTCTTAAAGCTGAGTCGCGTTAGGTAAAAATGAGTAAACCTGGCTCATCATATACTGTTTTTTTCTTGGATGTGAATAAAAGACATGACAGGGAATCCCAGAATTAAATTTTCTAAAGCTTAAAGGGACAATTCTGCGCGTGTCCCCAAGTATTAAATGTGGTGCGCGCGCCACCAGGGTGGAACACGGTGCGCCCTATGAAATAGGATTTAGTGGGGCAGAGTGGAATTTCAAATGTTTTCCCATCGTGGCAGTTGTTTCTACAAAGAGAAAAACCGGGCAACGGCTTTTAGGCTTGGGCTCTAAAGCTCCATTGCAGCCAAGCTCCTTTGTCCTGACAAAGGCTGGAAACCAGAGGACGGCCCACGAGTCCACGCACGGTCCAGGTCCCGCGCCGCACCGGCAGGAGCGCCCTGCGCAGCCAGAGCTCGGGGTCCGGGCGCCGCAGGAGGCGCACCGGCTGGGCAGCAACCTGTGCGCCGTCCACGCGTGACTCACCGCCACTCGGGACAGCTCGCCTGCCCCATCTACTGCGGAGGCTGATATTGAGCCTTAGGTTTCACTGGTCACTCAAAACAGCATCCCCGTTTCAGGGCAGACCGCGTCGCAGTGCTGCCCCCAGTTTCCTGAGACCAGGGAAACCCTGCCTAGAAAAGTGAGGACTCCCAGCTTGGGCCGGGGGCTCCATCACGGATACAGGTAGTTACCGTCTACGACTAACTAGTTAGGGAGGTGAGACGTCAGGATAGGTCTAATAAAAACCTCAGGTGAGAGGAAAAAAGGCCTAGTGTCTCCTAAATTCTGTTGTCACCCGGGAGCCCCAAACACTTCTATTGACTTGGGACACCCAGTGAGAACTGTGTCCATCGGCGCTCCGGACGCTGCGTGTGCGCCGGGGATGACACTTACAACGCCCAGGGGCCTGCGTCCTTAAAAGCTCTTTTAGGAAAGAGGTAGGTGGCTCTTAAAAGAGCCGTTGGGTTATTGGAACGAAGTTCCAACAGGAACTACTTCTTCTTGGGCGCTGCCTTCTTGGGCTTGGCCGCCGTCTTCGGCTTGGTCACCTTCGCCTTGGCCGCCTTGGGCTTCACCGCCTTGGCTTTGGCCGGGCTCTTGGCTACTTTCTTGGGCTTCACAGCCTTCGGCTTCTTGGGGCTCTTGGAGGCCTTCTTGGTCACCGGCTTCTTGACCTTCTTTGGAGTCTTGACAGCTTTTTTAGCGGCAGCACCGGTGGCCTTCTTAGGTTTTTTAGAAGCGCCCGTTGCCTTGGGCTTCGCCACCTTCGCGGTGCTGGGCTTGGCGTCGCCGGAGGCCGCCTTCTTGTTGAGCTTGAAGGAGCCCGAGGCGCCGGTGCCCTTGGTCTGCACCAGGGTGCCCTTGCTCACCAGGCTCCTGAGGCCCAGCTTGATGCGGCTGTTGTTCTTCTCCACGTCGTAGCCCGCGGCCGCCAGCGCCTTCTTGAGCGCGGCCAGCGACACGCCGCTGCGCTCCTTGGAGGAGGACACCGCCTGCACCAGCAGCTCGGACACCGACGGGCCCGCCGGCTTCTTCTTGGCGGCCGCCGCGGCCTTCGCCGGCTTCTTCGCCTTCTTGCCGGCTGAAGGCTTCTCGGGGGCCGCGGAGGGAGCCGGAGCGGGTGGCGCGGTCTCGGACATGGCGAGAGCAGGAATCGATCTAGCCAACTGCAGGAACCTGAGAGGCTGGAAGACGCCACAGGCCCGCGCGCCTCGTATTTATAAGGAGGGGCCGCGCTGTGATTGGTGCGCGCCGCCGCCTGCGCCCCCTGTCGCCCGGAGCGCGCCTTGCTCCTCGGCGGCTACGAAGGGAGCCCCGCCCCCGGGCCGTGGGTACTCGGTCCCCGCCGCGCGCCCAGGCGCCGCGACCCCGCGGTCACCTCCGGGAGACGGGGCTACAGGACCGGAGCTACTTCTTAAGACAAAAACCACAGGCTTTCTCCCGGGGGCTGGGGTGCGGTCCGTTTGTGAACGGTCATCAGAACCTGAGAAGCCCCACTTGAGACTTCACCTAGAGGGGGCGGTGTTGGGGACCGTCCTCTCCATCCGGGCTGTGCTGGTGGCTGCGGAGGGAGAGGAGAGCGCGGGTGTCGGCCCGGCCTGCAGGCTTGGAGCCGTCTCTCCTGTGCCATGACCTTCCCGCAGCGCTGAAGAGCGACAGGACCTGTGTGATTTGCTCAAACGAGAATCGACAACGCCGTGAACTCGCCCAGCACCTCACTTCACACTCAAGCTGGACGTGCGGGGCGGCTTCTGTAACTCGACGAAGCTTAGACGCTTTTGAATCCCTACAACGTTCACCAAGTAGACGCTTAAGTGTACGACCCGTGTCCTCTGTCGGCATCATCGTTCACTTACTAAACCCAAGACCTAGCATCCGAGGCACTAACGAGGACCCGGGCGACTACGCGGTTACCCGACCGGCACTGCGCGGGCAGGAACTCCCGTAACTTTGAAAGTGAGGAAGCGCGCCCTGGAGAGACGTCTGGCGCAAAATTACTTAACTCGTCTGCTACGCTGAAAGCACGTTAACATCGCTCATAGTAAACGCCTCCGACCGCAGGAGACCAGGGCAGTGACGTCACGTTCCCGCGCGCGCGACCGCGGTTCTCAAACAGGTCCGCAAAGTCTGGCGGGACGGGTTTCCCGTTTCCCTAGCGACGTAGGAATTTTATTAGCAACGGGTGGCCACTAATCGCTTCCATCTGCTCCACCGCTGTTTCCATCTCCCACTTCCCGGAGAGTCTGTTTTTTTAAAATGCATGACATAATTTCTATCTAAGAATTTGGATGGAATAGGACAATTGGGACTACGCGTCTGAGTTTTAAGGATAGTCGATTATAATGACACAGGTATAAATATTCCTCAAAGACTGGATAGTTTCTTGGGTGAATATTTCCTGAAAGATGTAAACAAATTTCTTTGGTGGTAATAAGCCATTTAATTAAACGCAGTTTGTAAAACGGAAGCACTGGATTGAGAAGTTAAGTTTTTTGGGATAAGGAGTCTAAATATGCAAATAAGTACCGCTACGATCTGCTTAATGACCGAGCTATATAATAGATTTAACAAATCAAAAAGTAGAAGCTGGTCTACCTCATCCTATTATAAAAGAGCCACATCCGCATCTTTCAAGCTTGAAAAAAAAATTATAAGATGAAGTTTTGGAAATGATAAGTAGTCATTAGGGTCTAGAATCCAGTGATTGGGCGAGCGCGGTGTGTACCCAATTTGGTGCTAGGTAACGTCACAGTCAGTTTTTCTGCAACTGGCAAAATGTACTCTAGGATTTAGGAAACAAGAGTTTCAGAAAACTCCAAGTGTAGAATTCAGAGCACAAACAACAAGGGACATTTCGGTGAAAGCTATTATGATTTACTCGGTTTGAGATTATGTCTTATAGATTTCAAAGTCCCTCAGTCAACTTAAACAATACAAAGGGACCTCCTTTTTGCAAAAGTTAACAGGAATTTGTCACCTCATCTGGGATTATGCTGCAGGTAGTGGGAAAGTTATATACAAGGGGCCGGAGTGGGGGCGAGGAGACAATATTCCCTCTATTTCTTCCCCAAGAACTAAAGGAATATACAGGATTAAAAAGTAATAGTAGCATTGAGGCCAGTGATTTACTTTTGTGAAAATATAATGCTCAAAGCATTGAATTCAGATTATGAAACTCGGATGGGGTGGAGAACAGGAAAAATTTGAAAGGCCTCAGAAAGAGGGGAGTAGTAAATGAAACTGAAGCGTTATTGAAAAGCTTAGAGAAACTCCAATCAGAGCCTGGAACGTCAGAGCTAAACATTGTTCTCATCCAATCACTACACTTTACGTTCTATAAATATCAGCAGGGCTTGTGGGCGACATATTAACTTCATTCTCTGGTTCCCCTTAACGAATTTTTGTTGCCATGGCTCGGACGAAGCAGACAGCGCGCAAGTCCACGGGCGGGAAGGCGCCGCGCAAGCAGCTGGCGACCAAGGCGGCCCGCAAGAGCGCGCCGGCCACGGGCGGCGTGAAGAAGCCGCACCGCTACCGGCCCGGCACGGTGGCGCTGCGCGAGATCCGCCGCTACCAGAAGTCCACGGAGCTGCTGATCCGCAAGCTGCCCTTCCAGCGCCTGGTGCGCGAGATCGCGCAGGACTTCAAGACCGACCTGCGCTTCCAGAGCTCGGCCGTCATGGCGCTGCAGGAGGCGTGCGAGGCCTACCTGGTGGGGCTCTTCGAGGACACCAACCTGTGCGCCATCCACGCCAAGCGCGTCACCATCATGCCCAAGGACATCCAGCTCGCGCGCCGCATCCGCGGGGAGAGGGCCTGATTTTCAAGGTCACTCATTCTCCTAAAGGCTCTTTTCAGAGCCACCCACCTTTTCCAACAAAGGGCTGGAAAAACACTAGTTACCTAACTCAAAGTGGTTTAGTGTAAGTAGGCATGTGCTTAGGAGTAAAAGTATATGCAGATAAAAGTTTTACACGGAGCTTCCGACTGTTTACCTGCTTAGGCGACCAAGCTGAGTCGTAACAAGTGATTGGTAGTACTCAACTTAGTCCTAATTAGGAGCCAGTGAAAGTTTGAGGGACGTGGAAGAATTGGCATTCCTAGAGTTAATGTTGCCTGAGTTTGGGGGAGTTAATGTAGCCTAACTACGTCTTAAACCAAGTTTATCATTAACTATGAACTCAGATTTCATCTCTGTGATCTTGGAGTTCCTGCGATTACCAAAATTTACCGTAAAATCTTTGCTTTTGTGTGTTTTTTCCTTACAGGTTTTTTTTTTTGAACCATTAGTTCTCAGCCTAGTTCCTCCAAGTAGTTACAGTTAAAGATCAATCCTTGCTCTTTCAAGCTGAGCTCTGGGTCTCCCCCCGCCCCCCGCCCCGAGCAAGTTCCGAGTTTGGAGGAGGGATTAAGGGAGGGGACAGGTAACGTCACATTTCCCGCCGGCGCGCTTTCCAATCTCTACATCTGCTGGGGGAGGCGGGGTTAAGGGGGAGCGGTAGTTGTGTATAAGAGTCAGCTCCCCTCTTCATTGCCAATTGTTCTTGGCTCTGTGCTCGCGAAGTCATGTCTGGTCGCGGCAAAGGCGGGAAGGGCCTCGGGAAGGGCGGCGCCAAGCGCCACCGCAAGGTGCTGCGCGACAACATCCAGGGCATCACCAAGCCCGCCATCCGGCGCCTGGCGCGGCGCGGCGGCGTCAAGCGCATCTCCGGGCTCATCTACGAGGAGACCCGCGGGGTGCTCAAGGTGTTCCTGGAGAACGTGATCCGCGACGCCGTCACCTACACGGAGCACGCCAAGCGCAAGACGGTCACGGCCATGGACGTGGTCTACGCGCTCAAGCGCCAGGGCCGCACCCTCTACGGCTTCGGCGGCTGAGCCCCCGCGTCCACCAGCCAAACATTTTCACCACCAAAGGCCCTTTTCAGGGCCGCTCACTCCCTCGGAAAGAGCTGTGCGCGGCTGTCGCGCTCTGGCGGTTCTGTAGACACGGTTTCTTGTGCTTGGTGTCAGCTGGCTCAACCTTTAGCAGTAACTTCAGGGCAGATGTTGGGGTGGTGGCTCCTCCAGGGCAGGCCTCAGCCAGTCTGTGCGCGGGGACAAAGGAGCAGCTACGCCACGGGCGCAACGGGAGGGAGCGGGAGCTTCTGGGGGTGGCTGGCAGGAGTGAGTAAACTGGAGGGTTCCTCGTTACTTCCGTATCCCCATTGGAGACATAAGGCTCACAAGTACCTAGGTTTTTGTTTCTGGCAAGGACCCCACGTGCCCCGTGTCCCCTGTGAAAGGACAAACCACAGGCCATGGTTGGCGAGGAGCAGTTTCCAGTGATCCGCAGCCGTGGAAGCGTCGTCGAGATACTTAGTCCGGGAGTTTAGTATCTTTACAAGTTACGAATCTGCAAGGGGGCAGTCTGTCGCCCTCACGAAACAAGGTCTTAAAATTCGACATATCCAGCAAAACGGTGGGTATTAATTCTTAATTTGCCCTGCCCGATGTCACAAGGATTGACACACTTTGGGGCTCACCAGGCCCCCCCCTCCACTCCTGCTGAGTATCATCCACCCCAACAAACTGGGTGGACTCGGGTTTAAATGTAACTAACTAGGCCATGCTTATGTCCAATCTCACGCCGGGCCTCTCCGTCACCCGAGACTAAGCAGTTTGTAAAGTGCATTGACTAGACAAAGGGCGCAGTGTTCTAACTCCCGTCTCTAACTTCCTCGGACACCCGAGGCCAAATAAATTTAATCATTTCGCATCTTGGAGGAACTTCGTTAGCATTATTGATCCTTTACACTAGTTTAATGTCACTAACTGAATGCAGTGAGTGGGGCAAATACAAGTTTGACTGGAATTATGGGGCTACACATAAGTTTTGCTTTATAACTTCCTTGATTTTAACCACAGTAGTGACACTTTGCGAAAGGCAACTGTCTTGAATAACCGTGCAGACTTCACAGCCTTTTTTGAGTAGGTGAGTGGCCCTGAAAAGGGCCTTTGGTGGTGAAAATGTTTGGCTGGTGGACGCGGGGGCTCAGCCGCCGAAGCCGTAGAGNCCCTCGGAAAGAGCTGTGCGCGGCTGTCGCGCTCTGGCGGTTCTGTAGACACGGTTTCTTGTGCTTGGTGTCAGCTGGCTCAACCTTTAGCAGTAACTTCAGGGCAGATGTTGGGGTGGTGGCTCCTCCAGGGCAGGCCTCAGCCAGTCTGTGCGCGGGGACAAAGGAGCAGCTACGCCACGGGCGCAACGGGAGGGAGCGGGAGCTTCTGGGGGTGGCTGGCAGGAGTGAGTAAACTGGAGGGTTCCTCGTTACTTCCGTATCCCCATTGGAGACATAAGGCTCACAAGTACCTAGGTTTTTGTTTCTGGCAAGGACCCCACGTGCCCCGTGTCCCCTGTGAAAGGACAAACCACAGGCCATGGTTGGCGAGGAGCAGTTTCCAGTGATCCGCAGCCGTGGAAGCGTCGTCGAGATACTTAGTCCGGGAGTTTAGTATCTTTACAAGTTACGAATCTGCAAGGGGGCAGTCTGTCGCCCTCACGAAACAAGGTCTTAAAATTCGACATATCCAGCAAAACGGTGGGTATTAATTCTTAATTTGCCCTGCCCGATGTCACAAGGATTGACACACTTTGGGGCTCACCAGGCCCCCCCCTCCACTCCTGCTGAGTATCATCCACCCCAACAAACTGGGTGGACTCGGGTTTAAATGTAACTAACTAGGCCATGCTTATGTCCAATCTCACGCCGGGCCTCTCCGTCACCCGAGACTAAGCAGTTTGTAAAGTGCATTGACTAGACAAAGGGCGCAGTGTTCTAACTCCCGTCTCTAACTTCCTCGGACACCCGAGGCCAAATAAATTTAATCATTTCGCATCTTGGAGGAACTTCGTTAGCATTATTGATCCTTTACACTAGTTTAATGTCACTAACTGAATGCAGTGAGTGGGGCAAATACAAGTTTGACTGGAATTATGGGGCTACACATAAGTTTTGCTTTATAACTTCCTTGATTTTAACCACAGTAGTGACACTTTGCGAAAGGCAACTGTCTTGAATAACCGTGCAGACTTCACAGCCTTTTTTGAGTAGGTGAGTGGCCCTGAAAAGGGCCTTTGGTGGTGAAAATGTTTGGCTGGTGGACGCGGGGGCTCAGCCGCCGAAGCCGTAGAGGGTGCGGCCCTGGCGCTTGAGCGCGTAGACCACGTCCATGGCCGTGACCGTCTTGCGCTTGGCGTGCTCCGTGTAGGTGACGGCGTCGCGGATCACGTTCTCCAGGAACACCTTGAGCACCCCGCGGGTCTCCTCGTAGATGAGCCCGGAGATGCGCTTGACGCCGCCGCGCCGCGCCAGGCGCCGGATGGCGGGCTTGGTGATGCCCTGGATGTTGTCGCGCAGCACCTTGCGGTGGCGCTTGGCGCCGCCCTTCCCGAGGCCCTTCCCGCCTTTGCCGCGACCAGACATGACGGACGAGGAGACTCTGCGCCGTTTGTCCCCACACCGCCCGCTGCAGCCTCTTAAGTAACAAGTGGGCGGACCTCGTTTGGAACAGACCGGAAAAGGCGGGAAACCGCCCCGCGTCCCCGCCCTTGTTTCTAGAGCCTCTAGTAACCCGGGGGTAGGGAAATTTTTCTGGTATTTAGAAAATAGATTCTCAACAGGAGTGTCTGCCGTATTCACCAAAGAAATTACGTCGTGTGTGTGTGTGTGTGTTTAAATATTTATCCATCCCGTGGATCATTTCTACACTGGAATTGAAACAACCACAAACCCCAAGAAACAAAGAAATTGGTAAATACGTTGCCACCCCACCAGACTTTGGGTTTGGAATTGGCGAGCAGCTGCTCTGAAGCTGGGTTTGACCTAGTTTATTAAACTGAGTTTTAGTGGCCTTCTCCATAAAAAGTATAAATACTTGTCAATAATTGAGTCATTGTAAGCAAAATCTCTGGCTAATGGGACAGGCTAGTAAGTGGAAGAGGGAAACTGAGACAGAGTTAAACAGCAGTTTGCAGCCATCTAGGAAATCCTATCTTCCCTACACCAGGGACACTTAAGAGGAAATACTTTGCACTTCTCACCAAACAGAGGCTAAATAGCTTAAAGCACCTACTCAGGGAGACAGCAGAAATGCAATTAGTGCCATTTGCCAACCACACCCAAGAACAAATGAAGTCCAGAGAATAAATCTCATCTTGGTATCAGCATAAAGCTGATGCATATTCTGTTGAGATCCTCCCCTAGGGTTGCCCCAAAAGCCCAACCTTTAAAACCCCTCAAAACGAAGGTCTAGTAAGAACTCTCCTTCCCTGGAGAACAACCCCTCCCCCCCCTTTCTCCCACAGGCTCCTAAACTCGAAGGGGCCCCAGGAGTCTTGCAACCAGGACAGCAATGGACAGCAGCAGTTCGTCCCAGACAACCTCCCCGAACCTGTCCCCAAGGCCCCCTTTTCCCTGATTTCTTAGTGAGGCAAAGCAGACCAGCCTAGGCTCATTCCTCCAGCCCTTTGTTGTTTCATTGCCCCCAGCTGTAATAAACGTCCTCTAAAACTCACCTGGACTCCTGTAGTGGGATTTTTCCTGTATGAACCCACACACTACCAGCTGGTCCTAGGCAGGACGCTAGGTTCAGGGTCAGGTCCCCTTTCTGGTAACAGTTTATAGTTCTTTGACAGCAAATTCTTATCGCCCTGACTTCTCTTTTTAAAACAAAGAATTTATAATGTGGATAGGACTAAAGCACATGGAAGTCTTTCAAAACATTTCCAATAGAACACCAGCATGTACAGTGTGCTTTAATTTAAACAGAGCATGCACATTTAAACAGTGAAGGACTGCAGATTTGAAAGAATGTAAATTTCAGGGGCAAATAGCCTACTCTTCTGAAGTGTAGGACAGAGGGAGGAGGGTGCTTGTCCTTTCCTGGGTTTGCTGCATGGAATTCAACTAAAGCTCTCATAAACTCTAAAACTAGGAAAAGGAATTTTATGCAAATGAAAACAATAAAAATACAGTCATTCCTAGATGTTTACATTATTTTTAAAAATTTGCTGAGCTAATACATGAGAGGATTAAGATATAAATCATGTCCTTAGAATTCAAGACAATGTTAAAAATGAGACGATTTTTATTGTTGCTAAAAACAAAATTAAACTGAGTAAATTTGAAGACCTAATCGACTTTATTAACCAATTCATGAATCAGGCAGCATCCTACTTACAACTAGAAGGGTGCTTCTAGGGGTTGTACAAAACAAATTTTTATAGGAACACGGATGGAGCCAAGGAGCTATTAACAAAAGAAAGGATTTCTCTTTGGGAAAACAGAGTAAGACGGTTTTTATCATGCAGATTGGCTTCTCCAGAGTTGGAGAGGGCCCAGGTAACCGATTACCTTACTATTACTAGTACTTGGCCAGAAAATTCCAGATTGGTGGATTGATTATATTGTTGGGAGAGGTTGAAACTGCAGTTACATCAGGTATTAAATCTAGGCTTGGTATCTTGAAATTTTAGCACCATTTTGGGACTGTGGTTTCTGACCTGTGCTAACTCCCTCGACCTGTGCACAAGGCCCCCTTTTCCTGAATCACCACTGAGCTGACAACAACCCCAACATGGCCCTCCTTTGCCATGACTTTTCTGGAGCCAAAGTAGCCCTGCCTAGTCTGTTTCCTGTTGCTTCCTCTAACCAAGGCACTTCCTTGCTTCACTATCCCACTTTTAATACACATACTCTGAAAATCACCTGGATTCTCCTGAATTCTTTCCTGCACCAAATCGAGAACCCACACACTACAAGGGCAGAAGCAGACCATTCTTGTCCCGATTCTCTTCCCATTAATATTGCCATTTTAGGACTATTACATATATTTAACTTCCAAGGCCAGGGTTCGCTTTGTATATCCCACAGAGCCAGTTTGAGTTAGACAAAGCCTCAAGTCTATCCCTACAACTTCAGGATAGGAATTCCAATGCTGGTGTCTTTCAGGCTTACCTTTGGGAGGCTGAGGCTTTCCAGCAAATAGTGATTTAAAATACGCCCGAGCATGCAGTTATTTGCAAATTAAACCTCAGAATTTTTCCCGGGAAACAAGTCCGAGGCCTTTGCGTACAGCTCTTTTAAATGAAATGGTAGGTGGCTCTGAAAAGAGCCTTTGGGTTTCAGTTGAATTTGAGATGGGAAAGAGTTTACGCCCTCTCCCCGCGGATGCGGCGCGCGAGCTGGATGTCCTTGGGCATGATGGTGACGCGCTTGGCGTGGATGGCGCACAGGTTGGTGTCCTCGAAGAGCCCCACCAGGTAGGCCTCGCACGCCTCCTGCAGCGCCATGACGGCCGAGCTCTGGAAGCGCAGGTCGGTCTTGAAGTCCTGCGCGATCTCGCGCACCAGGCGCTGGAAGGGCAGCTTGCGGATCAGCAGCTCCGTGGACTTCTGGTAGCGGCGGATCTCGCGCAGCGCCACCGTGCCGGGCCGGTAGCGGTGCGGCTTCTTCACGCCGCCCGTGGCCGGCGCGCTCTTGCGGGCCGCCTTGGTCGCCAGCTGCTTGCGCGGCGCCTTCCCGCCCGTGGACTTGCGCGCCGTCTGCTTCGTCCGAGCCATCGCCAAACGCCTGGGTGCAGGGAGCCGCCAGAAAGATCCCACCCTGGCCCCGCAACCACTATATATAAGGCGAGACCCGCTCTCATTGGGTCAGGCACCTGTCGATCAAGGCTCGCGGCGAAGTTATTGGAAGGCGGGTCCACTTCCTGATCCTAAGATCCTCCCCGGCGTTTGGAGCCGAAATTAACTTCTTCCACCCAACCACCCTTTCAACCGCGGCTGTTTTCTGTCCTTTCTCGCCTCTGCCTTTTCTCTACAACGCTCTTTGGCTTTTCTCCGCAGAATTTAAGGTAAACTGTACAATGATACATCTCGTTTGCTGAATAAAAGTTTAAATTTTGGCGCCTGAAACTGGTTTCCCTTTCATCGTTTTGAAAACGCGCGCGCTAGATGTGATTGGCCAACTAAGTTTTGTGCCTCATTCAAGTTTTGGAAGGCTCATTTCCCGTCAGTTTCATTTCTCTATTTAAATGTAGACTTAAAAATGTTTTATAGGCTTTTCCCAAATGTCTATTTAACTCGATTTCGCATTTATATTACAGCTACACTAATATTTACTTTTCATTAGCATTCTCACATAAAGCATTCCACAATGTTTTGTGCTTTCAAATGAGATTTGTGTAAAATGGAGTTAAGAAAAAAATGTCCTCAGACCTGTGCTACTAAAACATTACTGTGCCTTTTTAAAGGTAGGCGGGACCCTGTGCTAAGAAGCTCTGCTGGAACACATGCACCCGGGGCATTATTATTTTCCTATTTACAATTAAGGAGAGTCCCAGAGAGGGGAGTTGGGGATAACTTGCTCCATTAAAATGCAAAACAACTCCAGACTGAAGGATGGCTTTTAACCTGTCCGTAACTAACAAGATTCTTAATTAAATATTCACCTTTCACCAAACTGCAGTTCCAGTCCTTTTCTTTCCGGTTTAACCCCGAGGTCCTGAGCATTCACTCCCTTAAGTACCCGTGATGTACCTGATTTACTTTGCTGATGTTAAGTTTTGTTTTTATAGGAGTTATACTCGCGTTACTAGGCGTTTACACACTGACACCTACCGGTAGGTTGAGAAAACTGAAGGTCATTTTTAAGCAGCTGCTACAATGCGGGAAATGCCAGCCCTTTTAGTGAAAACTGAGTGGCTCTGAAAAGAGCCTTTGGTTGAGATCGAGGAAGACGCTAAACTTCCCCTTTACTTGCCCTTGGCCTTGTGGTGGCTCTCGGTCTTCTTGGGCAGCAGCACGGCCTGGATGTTGGGCAGGACGCCGCCCTGCGCGATGGTGACCTTGCCCAGCAGCTTGTTGAGTTCCTCGTCGTTGCGGATGGCCAGCTGCAGGTGGCGCGGGATGATGCGCGTCTTCTTGTTGTCGCGGGCCGCGTTGCCCGCCAGCTCCAGGATCTCGGCCGTCAGGTACTCCAGCACGGCCGCCAGGTACACGGGCGCGCCGGCCCCGACCCGCTCCGCGTAGTTGCCCTTGCGCAGCAGGCGGTGCACGCGGCCCACGGGGAACTGCAGCCCGGCCCGCGAGGAGCGCGTCTTGGCCTTGGCGCGCGCCTTGCCGCCCTGCTTTCCGCGTCCAGACATGACTTCTAAGAAAAGCTGAAAGTACTCCGTGAAGAAGAGGCGAGGGGAATGGAGCCAAAGGAAGAACAAGACTAGTATTTATACTAACTGGAGGTAGCCTGCAGGCGGTTTCCCATAACCAATGGAAACTGAGAGCCTGCCTCCCTCATTTGCATACACAGCGAGGTTTTTGTTTCCTCTGAGCAACTTGACTGTTTTACAAATAGTTGAAATCAATTTATTTTGCTCTAAATACTATCTTACAGGCAATCGAACAGAAATTATTGCCCCCATTGTCCTGACATTTGGTTACTCTTCCTTTTCCTGGATCGTGATTAATGATTTTGTAAACCAATGCAGGGCAATTTCTAAATAGATAACATTGAAGAGGTATTCTGAACTTTTAGAGCTCAGAATATAGGGAGAAAGGAAAAATAATATTTTTGGTCGCCCAAGTCTTCTTAAACTATCTGTACAATGAAAACTGAAAGGAGAAACTGGCCTAAGATAGCCCCTGACCTAGGACAGCAAAGGTGCCTTTGCTTCATCCAGACCTTACCTAGGAGGCATTCAAGGATAACCCTGCTAGTTTATAGCATGAGTATTGTCTTCAATTTAGAAACTGCGAAACTGGGAGACCCAGACTGGTTATGTACTGTGCAAAGGTAACACTGAGTTAATGAGACCAAGGACTCTGAACTCCTGGGTGCAAAAGCCTTTACCATCATTTCCCAGGGCCATTCCCAACCCCCAGGCCCTTCTTTTCCCATTTGGGTACAACACACAGGATGCTGGTGATTTCAGAGAACGGCATCTTTCTGCATATCCAACTGCATCCCTGTGGTTAGAGGGCTGAAAAGAGTGACATAAATGTTCTTTGTTTAAACCATGTAATCTATGGTATTTTTAAATAGTTTTGTTGTTGTTAATCCTCACCTGAGGATATTTTTCCCGTTGATTTTTTTAAAGAGAGTGGAAGGGAGGGGGAGAGACAGAGACAGAAACGTTGCTGCGAGACAGACACATTGATTGGTTGCCTCCCACACATGCCTTGACCCAGGCTGAGGAATGAGAATGCAACCAAGGTAAATACCCTTGACCAGAACTGAACCTGAGACCCTCTTAATTAATCTTAAAGAAAAACAAGAATTATGGCCTCATTTATACAACATTTATATATCTGTATTTGTAGACTGACACAAGGTAAATTTCTGGAAAATTGGTGGCCAAAATGTTCCTGGATGATGGAATTACAATTGATTCCTATTAATTTATTTAGGATTATTGGCAATGGTTATTATTTTTAAATAATGGGTAGGTTTTACTTTTCAAGAAAGTTTTAAAAAACTCACTTAAATGTACATATTATTTACTGAAAATGAAAAGACATGAAAGACTCATTGTGGCCAAAAGACACTGAAAAAAAATTAAAATTCCCCGTCCTCTCACCTGCCAAGAAGCAGGGACCAGGGCATTCCTTATATCCTGTGCCTTCTCATTCCCAACAGTCTCTGGATCTCCTGTTTCCTGTTTCTTTGTTAACCTTTCTTCTCTTTTCAGACCTCCTTCCAAATTAAAATTCTCCCAATCCTCTTCGTCTAGGTCCAGGCACCCAGAACTCTGCTGTTAAATAGGGAACATGGGAAAACTCCATGACTGAAAGGAGATTTGGGGATGTTGTCCAGGTTATTTTTCTCTGATTTCTTTGTAACTCAGAGACAGCAGCTCTGGAGAAAATGTGGGTATTTCTTAGGGAAGGGGGTATATAAACCCTTCTATTATGACAACAGTTTCAAGCTCCAGTTAGTTCTTACTAAATGGTATTCTTGCTAAATGTTAAAATGTACAACACTATTTTGCAGACACAGCTTTGATGGGTTGAGCTTGACCAGAACCCAACCAGATAAGCATAACCAACTGCAAAGAAGAAATCAACCTGTAAGTGAGGAAATTGTGTGTATAAGCCAGAGCTAAGCCTCCCTTCTGGGAGACACAGCCTTGGATGTGAATCCCTGCCTCCTTTACTTGCTACAAGTAAATAAAACTACCGAATGACAACCATGTCTCCTTGAATAGATCACCCTAAGCAGTTAATCCCCTAGTTTGCTAACACTTCAAGTATTTCACGTTGATCAGCTTGGCCAGTGGTTCTGCTGTGTTCAGAGTTGGTGCCTGGTCAGAATCAACTGCGGAGATTAACAAAATTTTTTCTGTTTTGTCACTACTTCACACTAATAGATCTGTGAGCTACTGCAGAGTCTAGACATCTTGTTTTGTTTCTTTTTAAAAATTTTTATATTTGTATTGATTTTTAGAGAGAGAGGAAAAGAGAGGGAGAGAGAAACATTGACATGAGAGCAGAAAATTGATCGGTTGCCTCCTGCATGCAGGAAATCGAGCCAGAACCCCGGCCTGTACCCTCACCAGAAATAACACCAGCAACCTTTTGGTGCATGTGATGGTGCCCAACCAACTGAGCCACACTGGTCAGGGTGATTTAAAAAAAAAAAATCCTCATTCACTTGTGAAACGTCAGTCAGGTATCAGAACAGATGGCAAAAGTTTCTAGGCTTGAGTTTAAGAGGCCTAAGCTTGTCAACTAAAAGTATAGCATTTGGTAAAATATCAAATATTAGAAAGAAATGCAAGGGGGGGAATCATTGAAAGCAAGCAGGCAGGCAAAATTATAAACGACAAGATGGGGTGAAAATAATCCCCTCCTGAGGAAATCATTTTTAATAGGATAAGAGATAATCTTACTACCTAGATCTTCCCCCTTAGGGGAAGAACACAATGGTTCGTGATTCTTAAACTATACCTGTGTTCACTGACAATCTTTTTTTGGGGGGGGTTACAGTCTAAACAGCAAAAAGTATTGATTTTAAGGCAAGTGTCTTTTTCACAACTATATTTTGCGTGTGCTGAGAAAGGAATTATTTCTCATAGAGTGGTCAACGGTTATGTTGGGCTCTGGGATACATTAAATTTTCATTTCCCTTTAAAAAGGGTTCCTTTTTAAAAAATTAAAGTTTAGATTTTATTGCTCCATCCACAGACATTGTTGTATGTCATCTACATCGTGCTCATAAACCCAAGGAAAATCTTTTTCCTTTGTAATACACAGTGAACAGCTGATTCTTCACCCTTTGCTCCCTCAACCCGAACCTAGACAGGCCCTCCGACCATTCTTCCTCAAGCAAGGCTCTTCCTGTCTGAGATTATTTTTGGAGTCCCAGATTCTCTGCAAAATGTTTGCAAAGAAAAAACCAGCGCATCTCCCTCTCCATCCCCGCCACCCCCACCCCCAGCCCGCGCTGTCAGCCACAGGGTGGCGCCGGACATAAACGGCGGGAAATTCAAATCCTTTGTTCCCAACTAGGTCCAGGGGCAGCCCAGAACCCTCAAAGGCACAAGAAGTGGCAGCCCCGACTTCTGGGATGTAAGAAAAATTCACCCGCGTTTTAGATTGACTGTGTCCGTCGGTAAACAGTTCTAATTAAAGCAGCCTCAGTTCCCCTGTGTGAAAAGGGCTCGAGGTATGTGCCAGAGACAAGGGCCCAAGGAGACACGCAGTTTCGCTGCCTGTTCCCCAAAGCGCCCAAGCCGAGCTGAGTCCCCTGGAAGGAGCGCACCCCTACCTGTGCCGGGTGCCGCCCGGACCGCTCCTCCTCCCAGAAAAGCAGCCCAGGTCGTGAATCCCTAAGGCTCACTACACTCAAATCCTTTGACCTCTTACCCAGGAGGAAAATTCCAATGCAAATCAGACAGAGGCAGGGAAGGAAGTGTCCATTGTAGGTGCAGTTTAATGAACACCTCAAGGAGGGGAACAGGGGATTAAGAGAACATATAAAAAGGCCGGGTCTTGCGTAAAGCGTCACTGTTATATTTAGGTTAAAACCAATTGTCCCTTCAGATCGAAGGGAAGCTGAGTTTGCCTCAAGAATAATTTGAATAGACTGTAGAATTCCAACTAAATCAATTGCATAGCCATCCCGCTCAGCAGTGGCAGTTACAGCTTTCCCTAGACAAAGTGAGTGGCTCTGAAAAGAGCCTTTGGGTTTGACAGTGGCGGAAGCACATCACTTGGAGCTGGTGTACTTGGTGACGGCCTTGGTGCCCTCGGACACGGCGTGCTTGGCCAGCTCGCCGGGCAGCAGCAGGCGCACGGCCGTCTGGATCTCCCGCGACGTGATGGTCGAGCGCTTGTTGTAATGCGCCAGGCGCGACGCCTCGCCCGCGATGCGCTCGAAGATGTCGTTGACGAAGGAGTTCATGATGCCCATGGCCTTGGACGAGATGCCGGTGTCGGGGTGCACCTGCTTCAGCACCTTGTACACGTAGACCGAGTAGCTCTCCTTGCGGCTGCGCTTGCGCTTCTTGCCGTCCTTCTTCTGCGCCTTGGTCACCGCCTTCTTGGAGCCCTTCTTCGGGGCGGGCGCGGACTTGGCCGGCTCGGGCATGGTCG